CTTGTAGTTTTACTCACCCAGACAATATCAGTCAACAAAACCACGATGATGCCACAACCCCTTTTGTTTGAGTGAAGTACAAAACAGTTGCGTCTTTCCCCCTGCGGTTTTCTTTATTTTCGCGTGTATCGTGTCTCCGTAGTCTGGTGGTGGTATTAAGCTACATGCTGGATATCTCAGCAGACTGAAGCGGTGTCAAACAATTCAGATGTGACTGATGACACTGAGAAGTGGCTATTTGCTGCTTGCAATATTTCACTATGATGTTACGTGGAAAGACGTCCAAGCACATGGATTTTCGTCAATCAGTAACTTTGTTGCATGAAAAAAACTATATAACGTTGTTTTGCATTTAGGGTAATTCAACGGCGTCTGGAGTGAGAAGCTTACTGCAAGCAGTAATGACACCTAATTAACGGAGATTACAAATGTGGTTATTGAACTTAATTCTTTGTCTCTCTTTTACTTTTTCCTTTCTAGTAGTAATTTGTTTTTAGCACTGCCGCCTAGAGGATGCCAATGTAAAAAATGTGTTTATTCCTTAACATTTTAGTTTTGTCTGGCATTTTTTTGTTCATTTCAACAATTCAGGATGGCCAATGACTTTCAAACAGTACGGATAAATGAAATACGCTTAAATAAGTTATGACATGGAGAGATTAAAAGTAGGGAGCAATTATATCTTGCTTTAATACCGTAAAATTATTTTTTTAACAAAACGTCTTAAGTGAAAAAAGTGTCGCCATATAACTGTACATGGGCTCGGTGTTTTAGTGGACGGCTGGACGGATATTGTTTAAAGTACGGTGAACGAAGAAATGTTGTATTTTTTCTGAAATTTGTTGAGGAGATACTTAAAATCAAGGACTAGGTGAAAATTTTAAAATGTCGGAGAGCGACTGCAGGTGTGACAATTTGTTTTGCAAGTGCGTACTATTTAGGACATTATAGCATCATAACGTGGTTATAATACACAGCTCGAGTTTGAAATTAATTTATGTCAGCTGTGTTGGGATTATGTCTGTACGCTGGGCAAATACCCCATTGCTTACACGTTTCTTCTAGTATCTTCCGTTACATTGCACAAAATGGTGCTGCCAACCGTAAGCATAAAATGCTTAATAAAGTACCCCTGATGTTAGGCCTTGTTTTCTGTACTGTTAAAACGTTTAAAGTAATGGCACACTCAGAGTGCGCGTGTAAAACAACAATCGTAGATGATATTAAGATTGCATTGTTTTGGACAGTAATTTTTCCCAATTGGGATTTATTGCTTTGTGCACTTTGGTTCCGTTTTTTTTGGTGTTACTGAGAACCCAATGATGTAGGTCTTTCATCCAATAATTATTGCTACTGCGGCAAGATGCAACGTCAAGTACACTGGGAATTCAGAGACGTCTAAATTCGATGGGGTCTCCATTGCCTGTTCGTCACCTGAATCTGAGTGACTCTGCCACCCTGACTGTTCACGTGAACATGTGTGAGTCAAGTGTGTGGAAGGAAGGAGCGTAAGTCATAGGATTTTAACAGGGAGGGTTAGCAGAGTTTGTTTACACATGCGGGAATAATCCAGGATAAAGATGGCGGCCACATATGCTTACAACTGTAAAAGTACTGCATTAATGTAAGTACCAATTTCAGCAATTAAAACAAGGAAGTTCTGCTTGCATAAATTTCTTCCCTTTTGTCTTACTCATGTGCAGTTACGACAATATTTTGACAAATGATGTTTGTTACTTCAAAATGATTCTGCTGCTAACTTCATCAAAGACACAAATAGACAGATCTATTCCAAATTTGACAATGCTACTCGCAAGTATTTGTTTATTCTTAAGTAAAACTGCTGTTAGGTGAAAGACTTTGTCTATATGTTTTATTCAAAAAGGAATTCAATGTTCCGCGGACTGTTGTACACAAATATTGCAAAGAAACCTACGTGTTTGATAAATGCGTTAAAAATAGTTTTTAATTTTATCAGGAAAAGATATCTTTTTACACTAATGTCTGACTGGTACAACAAAACATTAAAACGTGGTCTTAAATATGCAAATGCTTGGATTGTTAAAATAAACTGATGAACGTAAAGGCATTTGAAATCAGTGGTGGCAACATTAACTGTGTGTAGCAATGAGAGCAAGTAAACTGCAATTTCTTTTAGTCATGCGATTTCAAATGAAAAAAACAATAACAATAGCATGGAAAATGTTTTTACATCTAGCACAATTCTATACGGGAATTTCGAATTAATCGCATGTGACTTTTAACAGGAATTTTTTCAGGTGTCTATTTGTACTTCGGGTTAATTTATTCTAATGACATAGACTAGCAGTGTGCACTTCACAAGTCTTTTTTTAATGGCCAATCAGGCGACTTCAAATTTAGGGGTTTTCTGTGAAATTAAGATGGGCTGCACTTGTAAATGAGTGCGTGGCAATTTACTTACATTTATAAGACAATGCTGATAATATGCCCTTGGGAACTTCATTGACACTTACTATCCTATTAAAAAACTTATTAGCACCGATTTAAGACCTTTGGTTTAATGCGACTTCGTCAGTCAATTAGCATTCGTCGCTGTAGAAGTAAAGTATTGAATCAAATATTATTACTGTGATCAAATATTTTCACATGCGGTGAGCTGTCAGCCTTTTGCGTGAGTAATGCTTGTTAACCGACCAGATTTTACCAATGTCGCACCTTCACTGTATTAGTTACCCCTAGCAGTCACCTAATGAGCAGACGTACTTGTCCGGACACAAAGACACGTGGCTGGTATGACTCAGATAAACAGTCGTACTAGCTGTCGGCATTGTTGTGAATGTTCACGGGTTGTTACGAGCCGTTAACTGGCAGGTTCACAAGGTGATACGTTCAAGATGCAATGTAAAAATCTTAAGCAGCCTGAGTTTACACTCGAACAATTAGGAGGACATCAGTTTGGTGTACCACAAATTGAGATGTTCACAGTAGAATCACAATGGCTTATTTTGGAAGCTGAATTGAGCGTTTTTTGAACACGAAAACTTCGGAAAAATTTAGGCACAAAAACAAGTGCAGGAGGACTGAGTAAACAACGAATTTTATGCAATGAAATAATACGGCATATTCATTGAACATGTAGGCGTCTCGTGAAAATTAACATGTGCCACGTGAGTCTGCTGTTGTTGATAAATGCTACGAATGTCTCATCTGTGGGCCTACATATATATACACATAGTGGTGAATAATACCAATACTATACAGCTTCATTAAATGGGTAGGTTTTGCATACCATCTTGAGTGAATTTTCCGAAACCTAATGGTTTCCTTTAAAATTTTAGATATGCGAAGTTTTGTTTGTCTTCTGGCCTTGATAGGGCATGCATTTACTGAAATTCCGCCGCTAAACGAACAGAATGTCGTTGAAGGGGTTCTGGCACAAGTGCGGGGAGACGTTAAACCACCAGCCAGCAACATGAATCTTGTGGTGAGTAGTATTTCACTATTATTGTTGTTGTTGAAGCTTAAAATATAGAAGGAGATATAAAAAAGTACCCTCTCATATGTTCTTCAGTTATAAATTTTTCTTGGTTCATTTATTAGTCCAAAACTACACAGTATTATTATCACTAACATGGAGATTTTTTTGTGAAATTTCCAGAGATACTCCTTGGAAATGGAAGCACTTGCAGTTGACTGGGTGTCTTATTGTTCAAACGAATATCCAAATGTTACAGAATACCCTCAATTTGAAGGCACAGGGATAGCAATGCAGTCGTTTCATGGAAAAAAACCACGATTCCTGGATGTTCTTGATTTTGCTACAAATTCCAGCAAATACAATTATTTTCATAACACCTGTGATGGCGTGTGCAAAAATTACAAACTTGTAAGTTCTGCTTTGTACTTCAAAAATGTAGCTATCAGATCAAGTTGAATGCATTAAAGCCCTTATTGTTACCAATCGAAATTTCTAGCGCCAATTAAATAATAGGCCACTCGAATTTTCGACCATGTTTCTGAACCAATCAGAATTATGCATTGAATTTCCAAGTTTCTCTTCAGCTGAAATTTGACAAATTCAAGCTGTTATTACTGAAAATTAGGCTCACTCTGATTAACTGTCACTTTATTTGCTGTTATTTGTCACGGTTAAGCGACGTCTAATTTGGCGTTAGTTGCTGATATTTCTGAGCAATCTACTTAAAACCACAACGGATTACTCATTTTAGGTTACCTATAACAAATAAATTCCTTGTTAGAATGTTGGTCTTATAAATGTAGATGTTCCGCTATATAAGTAAACCACACAGAGAAGATCTAAACTACTTTTCAACATGTAAAATGTCTACCTTACAGAATATATTTATTCGCCATTCAATAGCAGAAATTAATTCCTGCCATTGCTGAGTTAGGTTGACAATAAAACTACCAATTCCCGCAAAGTCGTTTGACTGCTCCTTCTAGGTCTTGCACTCATTTCCTTGAATGTGATTTCATTTTTTTTTTCAATTTTTTTCTTGTCGATTATATAATTTGTCATGAACATTCAGTTGTGCACTAAAATGAAGATTATTAAGTCGATATCTATGATATATAATAACTAATGTTAACAAAAACTAAAAAAATCATGTCGATTATTGTTTTCATTGTTTTAAAGATGGTGTGGGCAGCATCAACCAGAGTTGGATGTGCAATAAAGAGATGTCTTCCACACGAATATTTATTGGCCTGTGTATTCAATCATGCGTAAGTATACATCCCAGTCTTATTTAAAAGGTTTGATATAACTGCGAAAATCTTTTATGGTGTTCAATATTGTTGAGATACAAATGCATGATTTGGATAACAATGAACAACGGATTAACTAAGAGGACATTGTTTTGATTTTTAGCGACAACGAACTCATTGGAAGGCCATACGAAAGAGGACTCAGTTGCAGTCAATGCCCGCCACATTCAGGCTGCTTTCACCACCAATGCTATGAAACAAGGAGGCAAGGACCGCACAAACGAACCACAATGGAATCAACGAAAACTTCTAAAATGACGGTAACAACTCAATCGGCCACAACCAACCTTCCTGACGACCAATTTACTACAGACGATTATGCTGACTCGATTCCTGCTGATATGTCTCCCATAACAACCACGCCAACATTGACTACAAATACGGCATCTGATGACCAGTCTTATACCGATGACTATACTGATTCGAATCCAGCTGATATATCTCCCACGACAAGCATGCCACCATCGACTACAAACACGGCATCCGATGACCAGTCTTATACCGATGACTATACTGCTTCGAATCCAGCTGACATATCTCCCACGGCAACCACGGCACCATCGACTACTAGCGCGTCATCTGATGATCAGTCTTATACCGATGACTATACTGATTCGAATCCAGCTGACGTATCTCCCACGATGACCACGGCACCATCGACTACAAACACGGCATCCGATGACCAGTCTTATACCT